CAAAAAGTCGCTCTTTACGACGCACGCTGATAGTGTCTGGTAATAATGGTACAGTGATAGTCGAGATGGAAGTATCCATCGGAAAACAGCGAAAAAAAAGGACGACAAGTTGGTGAATGCCGTCCTCGTGCATTCTGGGAATGCGAACACAAGAACAGTCATGACCACTGAAAACACACTAAGAATACCTTGGACAACTACCACGAGTAACCGACTCGTCAACGAGACCAGTCATTGGGACTGCTGATTCCAAAAAGTTGCAAAATAAAATTACACTTCCTCGGACGAGGGAATGAGGAAAAGATAATACCCTCCTGTAGGAGGCATCGGGGAGTCCCCAAAGTGGAAGCCGCCAAGCCCTCCCTCGATTTCGAGGGAATCGGACTTGGTCAAATTAATATAGTCATCATCACAGACCTCCTCTGCTGCGGTGGTAGTAGTAGTCTCGCTACTCGACTTGTGCTTATCAGTGAGGAAATCGTCCATTTCGTCGTCATCTCGAGTAATCCGTACCTGCAGACTGTTTATGTAACGCAGGGGGGGCTATTAGTTGAGATGGCTACATATAGAATGAAACCAAGATGACTAAGGGCCATGAACAAGCTCACTGACATTATGACAATATCGGGAACGGAGGAGTCCATCGAATTAGTAGAAGCGTCCATGCGGAATACCAAAACAAACTGAAATCATACTCACAAGCAGAGACCATATACCATGAACAATACAACGAGAAACGACTTGGAGAATTATGTCGAAATGAGCCCAATGTCCCTACGAGACGGTGAACAAGTGATCTGAATAGTCAGGCGTGTCTTCAAGCTGAACCTGTGTCGAAGCACACGAAACGCTAGAGTGGCTATGACCACCATGACACAACGAGTGGTGATAACAATGACTAGCTATGATGATATGGAAAGGAGAACCTTCAGGATTACCCACGGGTACGCCATTGACTTTGAACTCACTCGTGCGTTGTTGAAAAAAGTTAGCTACTACGAGGTAACCAATACAGGCTGCATGGTATGCCTGGATGAGGAAAATATAATTAGTCTAATACGATCATACACACACTACGACAACTAGGAGAGGAGAGGGTCGGCTTCAAGCTGCTATAATCACATTATAG